TGTTGGTGGGAGTGTAAACTTGTTCAACCACTTTGGAAAGTAATATGGAAGTTCCTCAAAAGACTCCACATAGAGCTCCCCTATGGTCCAGCAATCCTACTTTTGGGCATTTACCCAAATAATCACAAACAAGACCATACTAAAGCTCCCAGCCCAACTATGTTGATTGTAGCATTGTTTACCATAGCTAAGATATAGAACCAACCCAGATGCCCCTCAGTAGATGAGTGGATCAAGAAAATGTGGTCTATATGCACAATGGAATTCTATTCCTCCATCACAAAGAATGACATTGCCCCATTTGTTAGGAAATGGAAAGACTTGAAAAAAATTATATTAAGTGAAGTAAGCCAGGCCCAAAGAAACATAGGTCCCATGGTTTCCCTTATTTGCAATAACTAGTATATGTCTGAGACAATCAGAAACGGTCAGAGAAGTTGATGCTAGGTGAAATGAACCTCAAGATAAGGACTCAAATGTTTTTTTTCTTTCTTGCAATTGTTTCTAACATATTTATAAGATGATTTCTTTGTTGTTTTGTATGTCCCTCCCTACAGTATAACCCCTGTTTCCACTGTATTTGATGTTGGTATAATTTGTGGAGGGGAAGGGAAAAAACAAATTGTTTAAATGGAGATGCAGGTGGACCCATTGCAACAATTAAATGTACAAGATATTATGTCAAAAAATGAACTTTACAACTTTGGTGGGAGGAGGGGAAGACAGGGATGGTAAGGGGAAACAGGAAAACAAAGGAGGAGGCAACAATGCTTGATAAGAAATGCACTCAGTACCTTGCTCATGTAATTGTAACCCCTCTATACAGTATTTTCACAATAAAAAAACTTATTTTTAAACAAAAGACTAAATATAAAGCTTTTTTATGACTCACAATCCCACTCTTGGGCATTTACCCAAATGACCACAAACCAACCTGCACTAAAGCCACCAGCACAACCATGTTCATCGCAGCATTATTTACCATAGCTAAGATTTGCAATCAACCCAGATTTCCCCCCATGGATGAATGGGTCAAGAAAATGTGCTATATACACACAATGGAATTCTATGCTTCTATCAGAAAGAATGACATTGTTCCATTCATAAGGAAATGGAAAGACTCAGAAAAAAATCATATTAAATAAAGTAAGCCAGACCCAAAGAAACATAGGCTGCATGGTTTCCCTCATTTGTAATAACTAGAATATGTCTATAAATCCAGAAGTTAGTCCAATGTATAGTGAAAGACAGAATTACATTTGGGCATGATTAATTAAACAGCACTCTAAGCATTCAGGCATTGAAAACAAAGAAGGATATTTTTAGGAAAGGATAACAATGGCTCAATAACTATGTGTACATGACCATATAGAATGATGCTTATCAAAATGAACTCCAAGAAGTGGAAACTAGATTTTTCTTATTGTACTGTTTGCAGTTATTTATTTTTCCTTTCATTTTTCCCTTTGGTTTATTCCCTGGTGTCACTAGTTTTAATTTCTATACCCTTTATCATGTATATAAGCTTATGTGATTTGGGGACAGGGAGGAGAATCATAGAAACAGTGGTACAAAGGGTGAACCAATTCCACAGTAATACCCATGAGATACTATGCTAGAAATGAACTTTACAACTTGGGGGGAAGAGTTGGGGGAGGTGTGAAATGGGAGAAAATGAGGGAGTGGGTAACAGTGTTCAAAAAGACATATACTCATTACCTTACTTATGTAACGTAACCCCTCTGTGCATCACCTTTAAATAAAATTTAAACTTAAAAATGTACTCTATTCATAAATTGCTTTGTTAATGATAACTTCTTTGTACAACTACCTAAAGACAATGATAAAAAAGAAAAAAATAAAATGTAAGAGATAGATGTATAACAAATTTAAGAAATTAAAAGAAGGAAATAAGATGGTCCATTATCAGTTTAAGTTTCCTTATGTTTATTTATTTACTCATTTAATTTGAAGACTAGTTCTGAGTTTTAACTATTCAGATTTAACTATTCAGAATATTTAGTCACCAAGTACTAGTGGCTTATGCCTGTAATCCTATGTACTCATAAGGCTGAGATATGAGGATCATGGCTCAAAGCCAGCCAGGGTAGGAAAGTCTGTGAGACTCTCATCTCAATTAACCACCAAAAAAAAAAGAAAGTGGAGCTCTAGCTTGAAGTATTAGAGCACTAACCTTGAGCAAATTGCTCAGGGAAAGCACTTGTCCCACAAGCAACAACAACAAAAACATAGTCAATATTATAGATATCTAAATATTATGTATCTATAGATATCTGTAGATATATATCTCTATATATAATCTATATACATCTATACATTTTCATCACTTTATTCTGAATTTTCATCTTAACCACAAAACAAAAATAAACAACAAGAAGAAGAAATCATTATCTCCAAATGCCATTAGCATTTGCTTACCTGGGGTGGGGGAATGTTTATGAAAACTTTTTCAACATGAATGAAGTATAAAATAATTTCATAACTGATGACTGAAGCAGTACTAATGACTGAAGTGTTCATGAAAAAGGAAAACATTAAATAATTATAATGCTTTATTTTTTATTCTTTAATGCACTTTAAAAAAAAAACTCCTACAAATAGTATGAATCATATACCAAGAGGAAGAAGGAAGGAAGGTAGGAAGGAAGGAAGGAAGGAAGGAAGGAAGGAAGGAAGGAAGGAAGGAAGGAAGGGAGGGAGGAAGGGAGGAGGGATGTATAGAAGATCTGCTATTTTCTAACCATTAATTGAAGACAATTCAATCTTCATTTTTTTTTATTTTTTGTCGGTTGTGGGGCCTGAACTCTGGGCCTGGGCACTGTCCCTCAGCTCAAGGCTAATGCTCTACCACTTGAGCCACAGCACCACTTCTGGCTTTTTTCTTTTTGCTTATGTGGTGCTGAGGAATTGAACCCAGGGCCTCATGCATGCAAGGCAAGCACTTTAGCACTGAGCCATCTTCCCAGCCCCAATCTTCAAATTTTTTAAAGGAAAGGAAGACCCTTCTGCATGTCATAAAAAAGGACAGAGAATTATCAAGATAATACACAATTCTGGTTTGTCAGGAGGTACTTGGTAATAGAAGTGATTTCAAATCTGCAGTTCTTCACTCAGAAAAATACAACTTCAGTAGCATAAAACCAAGGAACACATATTTAGGATAATGAGTTTATACTTATCCTTGTTTTAAAGTGTGCCTGTAAGCTAAAATTTTTCTTAGCTGGTAGCAAAATCTCTTTGTGGAAGTTTCATTTAACAGAGGCGCTTTTGCAGTACAAATGGAAAAAATGGTTTCATTTAAATCTGCAGAGTGTGCATATCTTCAAAACATTCAATAGAACTAAGCTATATTTAAGATATCTTGTCTTGAAAAAAGCAAAATTATTAGTGTTCAAAGATAGCTTCTCATATATGCTTGATATTTTTACACTCTTCAAAACTTGCAGGTGCAATGTCACAAAATGTGCAGACACTGATTTCTGATTATAGGACTCTTATCTTCTGCAGAGCTTGGTTTAATTTATATCTGCCATGGAAATGAGGAATGCAACGTATTTTGGATTCCAATAAGATAACTTACTAGTGTCATCTTCTGATTACGATCATCTCTCTTAGGCTTTTACCTACTACTATTATATCAAATGCTTCTTTAAGCAAATATTTTTGTACCAGTAGTAATTTTTGTACCTTAATAATGGATTATCATGCCTGAAAGTGACCTTATTTGTGTGGAAATGGGTCAAATTGCACTTATTACAAGACTGTATGCTATACGGTATAATGGTTACTCAGACTATGTTATAATCCCCAAAACACTTTGACTTAGTTTTCTACCTGCAAAAACGAAAACAAAAAAATGTTTTCACGTTATTAGGGATCTTAGATTGGAAAAAAACGTGGATTATCCTGGTGTCTTCAGTGTAATGAGGGTTCCCTGTGAGAGGAAGAAAAGAGTATCAAAAGCAGAAGAAAATGGAGAAATGAAATAGAGGTTGGACTAGTGCATTCTGGAGGAAGAGGAAAGGATTATACGCCAAGGCATATAGGTGCCCTATAATCAAAAATACAAAGAGATTGAGGGTCTCCTAAACCCTCTTTAAGGAACTTGGGCTCTTCAGAGTCCTCAAACCCCTTAAACCTCCAGCTTCCAGAACTAAAAGGAAATAAACTTTGGATTGCTTAAAGCCATTATATTTGTGGCGATTTGCTACAGCAGCTGTAGAAGTCTAGCATATATTGCTTTAAAATATTCCCACTTTATAAGAGGTAACAATTTTGAAAAGCAACTATTTCACCCTGTAAGCAATTATGAAAAATCATAGTAAAGGTAGCAGATTACACTAGGAAGAGCATTTCAAATCACAACTCTGTTTCTAATCCTTGAGTCAAGATACTGAACATGTTTTAAGTCTCAGTTTGCTTGTGTGTAAAATAAAGATAATATCACCATTGCTAGATTTTGAATGAAACTCAGTTAGATTATCCATGGGAAGAATTTAGCATTGAGGTTGGTAAATTGTGTAGTGACCGAAGATATATGAATACAATAAGGAACAGTCACATGTACTTTGTCTAAATAGACCAGGGGCCGCTCTGGTAGTCAGTTGCTGCTGTATGAAGATGAGAGCCAACAGCAGTCAGGCATTCAATCCTATCTACAGGGACTGTAAACACAAATTTTAACTGGGGGCTTATCCACTATTTTTTTACTATTTAGCTATTTCCTTTCTTAATAATTAAGAAACAAGATGAATTTTTGTCCAATTTTATCAGATCATTCTGTGGCCTGTAATTACCACATGGCAAAGACACAGTGTTGGTTACACACATGATGAATAATATTCTAGACTAGCTATCATCTGGAGTTATCCACTTACTCTTTCTTTCCTGTTTATTCATGAAATCTATCTGAGATGGATTTACTAATGTGATAGAAGTGAAGTGGCCTCTCTGAGCCACCTGTGTCAACTAGCTTTCTATTGGGAAAGTCTCTAGGCTCCACGTCTAGTTCATTTCCAGGTCTACAGAGGTGTCCTAGGCCTCATCTCTGCCCCAATCATTGATATAAACTGGCATAGCTTGTGGATCAAACAACTCTCATTTTGGACCGCAGTCCAGAAGACTGAAAACCTACTTTAAAAGTAAATAAATAAACAAACAAACACTATTAATTTAAAAGAAAGGAGAGGGCAGAAAAGCAGGAAGGCAATGGTGGCTTATTTAAGGAGAAAACCTGTTTTCAGTCCGTGGCGTTAACAATTTGCAGATGAAATCTAATTTGATCTATGTGGAATAGAAAAATAAGCAGACGCTACTGAAACTTTTAAGACTTAATGAGGTACGCCTATATTATTTGTATGACCAACAAGTTTGGCAGGCATGGGAGGTACTACAATGACTAATTTTAGTAATATAGTCCACTTCCTATACTAACAGTTATATTCACCCAATTTTTTTGTCAAAACTGCTCAAAAGTTTGTTTCATCTAATCATAACTAGTCATATATTTATTGAGAATTATATTTTCAAAACAATGTTTGATGGGATGATAGAAAAATGAGAAATGAATAGACAGCATGTGAAATGTGTGAAAACTTAGTATAGGACAAAAGAACAAATAAGGATGTACTCTCTAGTTGGAAATGATGAAGAAAATTCCCAACTGTGCCAATTTGGCCAGAGATAGGGCATAACCAGGCCGTCTTCAGTGGTGGCAGGAGCTCATTGTGAGAAACCTGTGAAAAACTGGAACTGAAAAGAGATTCAGGACAGAGGCAGCCTAAGAGCTAATTGCTTTCTCTGCCTCTCCCTCACAGTGAATACAGCTTCATTTCCCATGACCACTGTGTTTTCTCGGCAGGTCTACTGTGCACCATGCTCATTCCCATTTACTCATTTTCCAGTGTCAATTCCAGGGAGAATCATCTGCCTAACACAGATAGCAGCCACTGTTCCCATGGGCAGAGAGCTCTTCCTGCTGCCCTCAAACAACCCTTAGGCCACGCTGGTCTAGGTCGGATGTCCATTTATGCGCTCCATCAGTAACCACACCTTCCTAATGAAGACAATGGCCTCACTCTAAATGCTTAAGTCTATCAACAAAGAGGAGAAGCTAAACACACAAAACATTTTATTTTAATATCTAATGGAAGACCAGACTGAGTGACAAAATTACTGCTAATACTTTTTTATACTGAGACCTTAAGAGATTCAAACCACATGGATAGAATATTTTTTTAGTTCTTTTTTTTCCATTTGCTTGATTTGAACAAATTTGCATAATTCAATTAAACTCTGCTTTTCAGCTTCTTTCTGCTAAAGAATACTTCTGAAGTAAGGGAAATCACATCATATTTTCCTGCTCTCTGGACATTATTGAGTAAATGGAATCATTGCATGTCCCACATATAATCAGGTAATAGTGCTGGGCAGATCTGAGTTAATAAACATTTTTTTAAAGATAAGTTGTCTGTTTACCAGGTCTGGCTGGTATAGCATTTTATATTTCTGTTACATTTTTCTAAATGGGGTCTTGATCTCACCCCTACAGAAATCCTCATGACAAAAGCATTTCTTATTTTATGGATGAGGAACTGTTATAGAAAACAACTTAAGCAGAATCACTGAGAGAATTAGTGATGTGAGGACTGGAGTTCTTTATTCAGTACCAGTGCTGCCAACTCACCACATGTCTTAAGATGTAAGTGTGTTTTCTAGATGAATTATTCTCAACAGGCAGGTCCCTGAAACCAAGAGTGGCATTGGACAGGACAAGGCCCACAAGCCTGACATAATGACAAATCTTACTTTGATGGATATATATTCTTTACATTTGTTCATTTGTTCATTTCTATATTCAAAATGATGTATATTGAATTAAAAAAATCTTCCTAAATAACCCTTTAAGAATTTAACATTGAGTAAAGGACACCTAAGCTCTGAGCCATTCTATTCTTCTTCCTTAGAAGTCTCCAGCTTTTTCTAGAACACCTCCAGCCAAGGAGGCTCTCTTGCTGGCTTATAAGTTTTGCTGACAGATGAGTTATTAGACTGTTTGGGTGTTTGACTTACTTATTTTGTAAATTCCATTAACAGGTTCTACTTTGTCTTCTGCGATATAAGATATATAGAGATATATACAGTCCCTTGACGAATTTAAAATTGTCGTTAGGTCACAGGTTAATCTTCAAAATGTTAAGAACCAGAAAACCTTTCGTTATATAGTATAGTTTCCAGAATGTTTAGCCTTCCTCTGGATTTTTGTACAATCTATTAGATTGTACACATATTTTTCATTCTTGCAAGTAACATTTTAGGGCATTTTTTCAGATTCTATTTTATGTATATTACTATAATGTTTGGTAACTTGCTCTGTCATCTTAATAATCTACAAACACACAATATAATTTTGGTTTGATCAGAGTTTCACAATTATTTTTTCTAAGTACTTTATCTAGCAATGATGAAAATGACTACAAACTGAAACAAAAATAAAATCATGGATGCTATACAAATATTATACCACTTGGAGATAGAAGTTTTTGTTTTATTTTTATTTTATTTTTGATATTTTGCAGTAACAGGGTTTGAACTCAAACCTTCCAGGCAGGAGCTCTACCACTTGAGCTATTCCCCTAGCCTAGTAATGATAAACTTCTTAAGACTGTTCTAATCATTACCTTATTTAATCATTACCTTACCTACATACTTATTTACTGAGATTAAAACAGTATCATTTATGATACATTTATAATGAAAGTATTCATATTTAATCTCTGTAATTTCATCAAGGATGTATTTACTCAGATATTGCTGGTTCTTAATAAAAGGAGATTCATGTTTTTAGACATACCAATAACAAATTTTGTATTCTAGGAATTAGAAATTCAATCAGGTAAAATCATCCCCTAGGATGGGCACTACAACCAATAAAAGCATTTTATCATGTCTTCTTTTGATATCCATCAAAAAAAGCTAATGGAGTATTTTTCTAATTCACAACCTTATTCCAAATTAGGTTTCTGTCTTTGTATTTCTCCTTTTGCAGCATTTACTTAATGCTTCTGATGAAAAAATATAAAAGGTTAATGCATTTCCACATCACTTATTTCCTCACTCGAAGAGGCAGGCAGATGTTTCACACCTGCTTTGGTCTCCATGTTACACTGCTACAAGGGCTAAGCAGATTGGAAGTGCATAACCCAGGCCCAGTGTGAGATGTGGCCGACATGGAGACAGACTTAGCCAGGTGTGCAGAGGGCAAACCCAATAGTACTCAATCTCACACATTCAATAAAAGCAACCATAACAGAGTCCTTCTTTAATTCCAGATTTCACTGTGTGCTGTATATACACATTCCAGGACAGAATTTGACCAAGTGTGCTGATGAGATCTGGCAGTGGCTGCACAATGTGCAGAGAGCATGCTGGCAGAAAGAAGAGTTCCACTATTCATTTGGGCAGCTACAGTAAAGGGAATCCTGTTGTCCATGTGTGAAATTAGGAAGAAATTCAATGTGCAGTTGACAAAGCTCCATACAGATGCCAGAGCAAAATTTGTCTTGTATTTTAAATTTCTCTTTCATGAGAACAAAGCACACACTCTGACCACCTGTACCAACAAATAATTTGCTGTGTGGATAAAAAAAAGACAAGTAGGATGAACTATAATCGGAGGATATCCTTTTGGATTAAACCTCCTGTGTTTTACAGTCATTCTACTTTGAATACAAGAAGAGGATTGTTTGTCCTTTTCATCAGCAGGTGATTATGGATTTGTTTTATGATGAATGGCTTGTCTACAACTCAAATTACACTGGAATTAATTTCTAAATATCCTAGACTTCTACTAGCCTTTTAAGACAGAGGTAGTACCATTTTAGAAGAATGTGTGAATATATCTGAAAGAGGACTAAGATACTAGAATAGACATAGTTAATTTTTTTAATTTTATTTTTTGTAAAGATGCTGTACAGAAAGGTTACAGTTACATCAGTAAGATGAATATATTTCTTGTTGGACATTGATACCCCCTCCTTTGTTTTTCTCCCACTATCCCTTCCCTCCCCTACCTCCTCCACTCCCCCGCCCCCGTCCCCCCCTCCCCCCCCAAGTTGTAAGGTTCATTTCCATCATAGTGTCTTGTGAGTATCAGTGTTGCAGTGGGTCATCTTGTGTCCTTGTTTCAGCATTTTATTATTCCCCTTCCCCTCCCCTAATTAGATAAATGTATATACAAGATGCAGGGTACCAAAATCAAACACAGTGACAACAGGGGATATACCATAGGGGGAAGAACATACAAAAGAAACAAAAACTCACATAGTATATTAAAAACAACAACAACAAAGAAAAACTTCTTGTGTCTATATCTTGGGGTTCATTTCACTTAGCATCATCTTATATGGTCATATGTACAGAGCTTTAGAGTTTTTCTGCTCATCTGCTAAGATTATCCTAGACATACACTAATTATTGCAAATAAGGGAAAACATGGAACCTATATTTCTTTGGGTCTGGCTTACTTCACTTAATATGACTTTTTCCAAATCTTTCCATTTCCTAACAAATGGGGAGGTATCATTCTTTCTGATGGAGACATATATATATATATATATATATATATATATATATATATATGTGTGTGTGTGTGTGTATATATATATATCACCTTTTCTTTATCCATTCATCTATTGAGGGGCATCTGGGTTGGTTCCATATCTTAGCTATGCTAAATAATGCTGCAATAAACATAGTTGTGCTGGTAGCTTTAGTATGGCTTTGTTTTGGATCATTGGGTTAAATGCTCAGAAGTGGGATTGCTGGGTCATAGGGGAACTCTGTGTGGAGTCTTTTGAGGAACCTCCATACTACTTTCCAAAGTGGTTGTGGGTAGGGGAGAACAGGATAGGCTGCCAACGTGAATTATTTTCCTTCTTTCTTTCATTCCTTTCTTCTTTCTTTTTTGCCTTCCTTCTCTTCTCCCTTCCTTCCTTCTTCCTTTCTATTTTGGCTAAAGGGAAATGGGAAAACATGGTGTGATCCACACACAAGAAAAGCATAGATTGTTCTCTTATATATCAAACATTTCTTAGTAAAAAATATTTTATTAAAAAGATAGTTTCTTACTCTAAAAGCTATTGGATAGTGATAAGCTCAATAATGGGCCACATGTGCCTGTATAGAAAGAACCCTATCCTGCAGGTAAGAATATATTCCCTTTGTGACATTTCAACGTATCTTTGAAGTGCATAAGAAGCCCTTACACACTTCAAAGATACAGTGATACTACTAAAGGCTACTTTGTATACTTAAAATAAGTAGGAGAGCTTCAGGAGTTTTCCCTTTTTAGTCATGTTTTCTATTTTATAGACAAAAATGCTATGTAATTTCAAAATAAAGGGAAATTCAAGGATTTAAGCTTTTTGTTCATAAACTTTTAAACGTGTAATCACTAAAAAGTCTATATTAAAGAGTTTTGTGATGACATTTTTTAAGTGATTGTCCCCTGATTTACCAATTTGGAAAATTCAAGTTTCAATTCTGAATTTGCTTAAATTTTTAAAGTATAATGTACTAGAGCACAATATGATGGATTATTAATGTGTTCAGATTTGTTTTTCTAAGTATACTACATCTAATTAAAAATTAATTAGAAACTGTGGGAAATGAATAACCATTAGAATTACTCTTTTCTTTTTCCCTTTTCCATTTTCTTTTAATATTATGTAATTTTCTTTAATTAAAAATTTCTACATAATCAAAATATTTACCAGTGAATTTATTCTTTCCTGGGTAAATTATCATTTTAATAATAATTGGAAATATTTGTAGGTTTGATGAGAAAATTTTAATTTCTGAACTGAAAATGAAGCTAGTATATACTAAATCATGTTATTTCTTTAGAAAAGATGTGATAGCAAAAGATAATCAAATCAAAAGATTTGATTTCATTAAAAAGTCAGAATGTCAATTTAAAGCAATGCCATCAAGATAATTTCTGCCTATTTTCCTTTAATGAACTTTATGATGCATCAATTTTAGAATTATGCATAGTTTAGGAAAATCAAAGATGTATGAAAATAGACCAATAAAAGCCTGTTGAGATTGGCTTCTGGAGGAGGAAATGAGGGAGGGTGGGTCTGATGGAGGTACATTGTGTGCATTCAGGGTTCTGTCAAAATGAAACCCCTTGTATACTAATTCATGCTAATAAAAATGTGGAGGAAATGCTTTTTTGAAGGAATAAGCTTTGCTAATATCAAAAAGAAATGTATCGTGTACACATTTTATGTTATAACCCACTTTAAGGATTGTTTACATTGACCTTAAGGTGTTTCCAGGTTAACTCCTCCTGGGTCAGGCCCTACCGTGCTAAGAGGAATTCCTCAGGAGGTCTGCCTGACAACATCTTCATAGCTTATACCAAATACAACTGTGTGGAGAATGCTGCACATTCTTCCATATACTTTTTCCTTGCCATAGATGGATCAAACGAGAAAAAATCCTTCAGAGATTCAGCCACAAAGCCTGACCTTCAAAGTCCAGCAGGACAAACTGGGACAGTGTCCGAGTGGAAGGAAATGGAAACTGAGCAAGAAAACTCAATCAGGTGAGAGTTTTATAAAAACACAACATGTATTGGCTGTAGCGCACAAAGAAAATGCAAACACCTATTTCCCTCTTTGGTTCAGTAAAAGGGTAAAGGAGCTACAATAGTTGTATAACCCAAAGGAACTCAACCAGAACTTATAGGTTAGTTCTGTCTAGCAAGTCATTGTGCTTTACCAGCCAGCTATGGCCACTAAAAGCTCCAGGCAGCCATTTTGGCTAGAAGCCAAAATCACACCCACAAAAGCATCATAATAACAAATCTGAGTCACTATATCATCATGGGAAACAGCCCACATGTTTACTAGGTACGTACTTCCAAAAGAAAGAAATTTCTATTTCAATTTTGTAAATATTTTATTGTTCCAGAAGATTGATTATGATTTCCTTTCAGCTGCTAAGGAAAGAGCAGCATGAAAACCAAAGATAATTACAGAAACAGGCAATCTTTATGCCACTGAAGGAACACAGCTTTATAAATACTTCTCCCAAAATAATTGGAAATATCGCCAAGTGATGTCAATTAAATGTGACTCTACAAAGCCACAATAATACACAGCTAGGAGGGCCTTCATTTTGTTATGTGCCTGTGGATCCAACTTGAATCAGATCATTGCAATCAGCTTATGAAACAATGAAAACATCTTTTTATGTTTAAGAAGGAAGGCTTGCCATTTAATAAATCAAAAGTACATCTTTCCTCATCCCACCCCACCCTACCCCCACTTTCCTTCCCTAGTAGTAGTTTTACATTCCCAAAGCATTTCCTGTCAGTAGGCATTTCCATGATGATCTGGGGCACAGGATGCAGCTGACTGAGCAATCGGCAGTAGAATCAGTATTTTCTTATGTCTGCATAAGAAAATAAACACAAGCTCAAAACCCTAAGAAAATACTACTTGACAAAAATAAGACCTGGCATATCATTTAGGCACAGAGATGATGCCTAAACTCTGAGGTAAGGACTAGACTCTTACCCCAGGATAAGTAATTATTTATATGATTTATATAATTGTTGGTGTTTACAGAATGATTTGCACTTCTATTAGCTGCTCATCCTTATCTTCCCAGCACAGATAAGCAAGCAAAGCATACAGAGGTTAATTAGTTTGCTTGTAGTAATAGGGTCAGCTCAGATAAGATTCGACTGAATTCCTAAGTGGAACTTTCCCTTTCTCTCACCAATACACACCCTTTTCATCAACCCTTTAACCTTCTAACATTTATGTAACTACATTTTAAGTTTTTGCAAAAAGAAAGTGGTGCTAATCACTTTTCAAAAGACTGACATTGAATCCAGAACTAGTATTTGAGGGGAGATATTCCTGTTAATATATGTTCTAATATAGTACTCTTAGTCCTCTGAAATGTGAAAATGGAAAACTTTCCATTACCCAGAAAGTAGGTCAATGAGTACATATAGCTCCCAAACCCAAAATTCCTCCTGGACTTGACAGATAAGGAATTGCTTGGTCTGCCTCCTTCCTGATTTTACTTTGTTCTGTCCCTGCACACAACTCTGAATCTACCTTCTCTCCTCTCTGCTCCAGCCATGCTATCCCATTTCAGTCTCTTCCCTTCTGCCACAGGCTTTGTAATATATTGTTTCTTCTGCTCTTCAATTCTCTATTTCTCTACTACCACAAGTTAACCCCATCTCACTTTTCCAAATTCAGTCTGACCATTGCCTCTTTGGAAGACTTTCCCTGGTTTCTCCTAACTAGGTAATATCAGAAGTGATACTAACTTTGAATTGCAATTTATGTCACTGTCCCTCAGTCTCTTCCAATCAGCTATGTACTTTCTTACGACAAGGGCTATTGATGTCAGTTTGTTGGTGATTACTAGCCCCAGTCCCCTACCTCAATGTCTGGCATGGACTACTCATTCAACAAGTATTCATAAACTTAGTGAATACCAGCATACTGGATTTCTCTAATATTTCTAAATATTTACAGCCACATAACATATTCAAGAAGAGTTAGTAGGATGTAAATTGGACCCAAGACTCCCCATTCTTATTCAGAACCCTGGACAAGAGGAAACATATCACATCATGAAGACCATGAGTAAACAACTTTAGACTCTCAAGGCTTCATTCCTTGCCCTTCTTCTGACTTGATTTTCATCACCTATTTCTATCCTGAGTTGGCAAAATGGTTGAAACTAAGATCACTTTCTGATGCCTTCCTAAGATATTTTTTTCCTGCAAGAGAGCAGCTTAAAAATTCCTTGACAAGCCCAAGTTAGCTTCAAGTTTGTACTTTGTACTTAGCCAGATATTCATACCTTTATCCAGGATGGAGTAAAACCCACTTACACTAAAGGGGCAACTTAAAAGTGGGTACCGGAAGTTCCAATATCACCTTTGACTAAAAATAATCTAAATCGTCCAATGCCATGTAGTACTTACCAGAACTTTCTGTATTGATTTCATAGCTACCATTGCCAATGCATCTAGAATCCTAGACCAGTGATTACATGTGATTAGATAATTTCAAAGATAAAATAACTCTACAGAAGGGCTATTTAACAATACTTTTAATGTGTAAAGATGTTAGTACTTAGAGTTAATAAAAAGTAGCATATTCAAAGTCAAATTTGAAGGAACTCTTCCTCCTCCTTAAAATATATATATATATTATAAATATGTGATTTGATTGATTATAGATAGTAAATATAGATCATAACCAAGATTTTGATCAGCTCTTGCCTCAATTTTTATTCTGGTAATTCTAAGGTTTACACTCAGAGTCTCATGCTCACAAGGCAGGTGTTATGCCATTTGAGCCATGCCCCCAACCATTTTTCACTTTGGTTACTTTTCTGGATAAGATCTTATATTTTTCTCCTGAAGCTGGCCTTATGAGACGATTTCAGCTATTCTTCCTTTGTACCCGACATTATAAACTTGCACCACCAGACCCAGCCCTGCCTTAACTTTTAAATTCTGAATGTTTACAATTGTTACTAAATAAAAATTAAAAGTAGGTTTCTTATTCTTAGTGCATTTACTTTACCCTCTGATCTAAGCCCTGGGCCAAATCAGGGTTAATGTGTCTATGCTGGTTAGTTAGTATAGGGAAGATGTATGCTGTGGTTATGACTATCTCTGAGTAATCAAGGCAGTAGGATCTTTTGCTTATATCTTTAGTTTCTGTTTAGCTTAGAAGACAGAGTAGACACCATGAGGAACATACAAATGCATAAACACTATGTCTGCATCAGGCTGGAATCCCCAGAGAAATACAAGCAATAAGAGATATATACATACACACCTATATGTGGATGTATATATAAAGAAATTTATGATTAAGAATTAGCTCCTGAAATTTTAGAGACAGAAAAGTCTCAAGATTCCCAGTATACAAATTGGAGAACCCAAGAGAGCTGATGGCTCAAGACCAAGTCTGAGAACAAGTAGCACTGACAGTACAAGTTCCTGGTTCAAGACTCAGAAGGAGTACATGTTTCATTTCCCTGTGTAAGGACATGAAAATTCAAGAAGCTGGAAAAGTCAGGCCGGAATCTCTTATGGAGGATAACACTTTTTGTTCTGTGCAGTGACTAATTGGATTAGACCATTCACATAAGAAAAGGCAATCTTTTTACTCAGTCCTCTGATTTAGATGTTAATTTCATCCAACACACTACAAAAACACTTTTAGAAGTGTCATTGAGCCCTGTGACCCAGTCAGCATGGCACAGAAGAGTAATTACTGCACTTAGTTTCATTATGTACATAAAGAAATCAAAACAGGGCTAAAGGGATTGTTCAGTGATAGCATACCTACCTAGTAAAGGTAAGGCCCTGAGTTCAAACCCATTACTGCCAAAACCAGATATTGAAACTATAGTTCTTGGTTTTATGATGTCAAGTACAGTGTCTTCTTGCCATTTCATATCCTTCTGGCTTCAGTGAACCCACAAAAATTTCAACCTGGGACTTCTGCATTCTTGTCCTTACAGAAAAATGAACATCATGCAACAGAATCTAATGTTAACTATTAACACAATTGAGCACTGACGTTATACAATGCTCCCTTGACTCTTGCCTCAAATATTATAAGATGAAAATATGTGTATATCTTTAAGCAGTATAGATCTACTTAGCTGTTTATAAAAACACAAAAAGAAGTGGACAAAATTTGACTTGTTATATAGAAATTTCACAAAGCAAAATCACTTCTGTGACTTTTTAACCCAGTCCTCAGTAAGATTGTAAAGTAATTTCTTATCCATAACACAGTAATAACATTCATCTGAAATACACATCAGACAAGGAAGATTTTTTTAAGATATCCAATATTACATGTCCACTTTTCTGATGGAAATCTATTTGTATTAAACTAGCTTTCATTCTTCTTTTCTTTTTTTATCCTTTCACAACATTCTCTCAATTGTCCATCTGAGAAAAGAAATTCACTGAGTTTTCTTCAAACAAACAAACAAAACAACAACAACTTGTTATCTTGTCAAGTGAATCATTTAGCTTCTGAAAGACATGGGATTCGTCCCTGCAAAGGCCCACTAATGCCATCAATCCATGACCAAGAAAATTCCTGCTCTGGCATCCTATCCCAGCACAATCTTATTTTTTAATATAAAAAGATATTATTTTGATGGACACTAATGAATGTTAAGCAAAAGAAGATATGTTTTGCTTGGAAATGTCAAATAAGTATGTCTGGTAAAGGAGACAGTGGAATGGCTAAGAAGTTAAGTGGTTCAATGAGAAACAAGCTGTGAGTAGAATGCTCAGCCTCTGACTAGGAGGTTAGAGCCAAGACAGAGCTCACAGTACTGTGAACACACACATCACCATTGCATTCACAATGCTGAGAAGGAAGGTTAGATCTATGTATAGTCTGCTTTGTTCCCAATAGCAATCAGTCTCTATTTGGGTGGTTTTAAAATAGGCAATCATTTCACAGCAGGAACAATGAGAGTAGAAGAGATTTCAGAATCTTATCAGCACTCATAAACACTGATGTTTATTGTCCCTTCACCAGAAAAAAAGCAAAAATCACTGCAGGAAAGATGCTTAAAAGACCATATGTGACTTGCTAGTTGAAGAAGAATAGGCATGTCAGTGATCACGTTTACAAAAACAAAAAGTAATTTTTATTTTGACTATTTGTAATCATGTACTAAAAAAGGGAAAGCAGATATATATTTATTAGGTTTGTAAGATGCATAATGAGAAATATGCATCATTAAATGTTTCTTATGTAAGTAAGCAACAAAACACTTCAAACAACAGATTATCAATTTATTTGTAATAATGATTGCTAACTTACATTTATGAAAAGATGAAAGGTAAAATATTGGTAACCCCTCTGTACAGTATTTTCACAATAAAAAAAGAAAAACAATATTGGTAGAAAGTTTGGAGAAACTATAATTTCAAATACTAGCTAAAATATGAAACCATATTCCAATGGCTGTATAAATAGAAGATAATTGCTAGTGATACAAAATTCTAAGAATTACTACTTACTCTGGGTAATTTTTATCTATTCTTATAAAACAAAATATTTTAAATGACTCAATTTGAGAGCCCAGTGTCTCCACAGAGTAAGTTCCAATGAACATGAGTTTACAGTAAAAAATTACTAAACAGCTCAAGAAATAAATCCCTTTCAAGATTTTCAGAAAGCATGAAGGTCAACATAAGTAGCTCTATCCTAATTATATCCTAATAAAACTTAATAAGAAAATTAAGATCTTTAAACCAGCCAGACTGGTTCAACCTCTACTACAACAAAAACTAAATCATCTAGGATGGAAAACTAGTTTTCTTGAATGTAAAGTAGGTCTCAACAAATGTTAAATTTTTAGTGTCATTATATATATATATATATATATATATACACACACATATACATAGAGAGAGAGAGAGAGAGAGAGAGAGAGAGTAATGGTCTTCCCATTTTGTTTTTTTTTTTTTTGGGTCGGGTTGTGGGGCCTGGGCGCTGTCCCTCAGCTCTTCAGCTCAAGGCTTGTGCTCTACCACTTGAGCCACAGTGCCACTTACAGCTTTTTCTGCTTATGTGGTGCTGAGGAATCAAACCCAGGGCCTCAGGCATGCAAGGCAAGCGCTCTACCACTGAGCCAACTTCCCAGCCCTATCATAAATGTATTGTACAGAGGGGTTAGAGTCACATGAGTAAGGTAATGAGTACAATTCCTATTGAGCATTGTTGCCTCCTCCTTTGTTTTTCCCCTACCATCCCTTCCCTCTCACCTCCACAACTACACTTCCCCTCCTCTCCCCCGCCTAAATTATAAAGTTCGTTTTTCAACATAGTGTCTTGTTCATCTCATTGTTACAATGGGTCAACCTGTGTCCTTATTTCAGCATTTTGTTATTTCCCTTCCACTCCCCAAATTAGAAAAACGTGAATACAAGACTTAGAGCACCGGAACCAAATGCAGCGAAAACAGAGGTTATGTTGTCCAACCACTATGCCATGAAACTAAAAGTTAACTTTTTTCAAAGCTAAAAATTTGAAAACATCTGGCATAAATAACATTTTTAATGTCCATTTAAGTAACCTCAAAACTTTAATCATAGACTTAAGTGAGAAGGTCAGGTCTGTCCAGTGCCATATTGGCCACATGGTGGATGATAGGGTCTGGCATCTTGTCTTCATGCTGGGGGAAGGAAATGCCCTGGCCTATCACCTGCCTCCCAGGTAATGGGCACACCCAGATCCCTGGAGGCAGGAGAGCACTTGGCTGATAGGTTACTGAATCTGTCAATCTAGTGCCAGGGATGGGGAATTTCCTGTGGATCTGCCCCCTGCTATGACCCTATTTAAACCCAAGCGAGTCCAGGCTCCATTACCATGTCAGTGTGACTTCGCGGTCATGTCCTGTATCCTGTCCGCTGGCTCTTCTCCAGTCATCATGGTATCCCAGTTCAGCTCTCCATTGGAGCTGAATTGGTTTGTTGCTATTGTTTTTTGTTCTTTCTTTTCTCTCTAGCCTGCTTCCTATCTGTGTTACATGTATTTGGGGGCTACAGGCCTTTGTAACCATGGGTGGCCGGCAGACCGCTACTGTTAAACTAATGACTCCAATATCCCGTCTTCCAAAATCTGGCTTCTGGAATACTTCACCTTATAACAAAGCAAAGTGAATGAATGCTTGGAAGGAAGAACTAGGAAAGTTTTGCATACCAAAACTGAGAAATAAAAGAAATATTGTAAGATATCTGTTTTTGCTTTTCTGTTTGGGTTTTCCTCTTTTTGTCTTTTTTAGATAGTTAATTTCAATACCAAGTTATTATAAAATTCATTTGAAAAAATAAAAAGAAAGCAAAAAATAGGAAAATAATGAAAACTAAGAATTACAGATGTGATTTCATGCCTACCAGATGTTAAAACTTACTAAAACCTAAGTAAGTATGACATTGGCACATGAAAAAATAAATCATTAAAACATAATAAGTACACAAATAGAACTAATTACATAAAAATAGCATATAAAGTTGACATCTAAAATTCTTAAGAAAGACATGAAACCACACTAAGTGGTGTTAACATAACTGGATAGCCACATGAAAATTACTAAAACTGAACCTGACTCCCAAGCCACACACCAGTATAAATTCCCAGTGAGCCAGAGGTCTAAAAGCAATAATACAAATGCTTGATAAAGTTTACTACATTAGAAAAAAAGATAGTATTACCAAAAAAGTTGTAAGCAACCTAGCATAAGTAGCTCATACCTGTAATTCTAGCTACTCAAGAGTCTGAGACTGGAGCATCAAAATTTGAAACCAGCTGGGGAAGAAAAGACTTCTACACTACACTACACATTACAGGCTATGTGTAGTAGTAGATCTAAATATACAACCTATGACAAATAATGAAATAGTTCTATATTCCACATTATGTGTTACATTTCTCTGCTATGGCCTCCACCGTGATTTCTCTACTTAAAAGTCCCTAATAATGCCACCACAAATTAAATACTGTTCACCAAGATGAAGCTGAATTCTTTCAGAAGCTTCAAGCGTACTCTTGAGGTAGGTGGTTATACATGAGTCAGTGCATGAAACACAAAATGTTTGAATATGTGCAGTGACCCTGAGCAAGGACTACACATCCAGCTTGATGTCCTGTCTGAAAACTACTATTGGGGAGAGGACGGCTCAGATGCCTGTTGTCATTTAAGAAAAAAAAAGCAGAGCAGACACAATTTCTGTGTCTCTCTTTTTTCTTTTTCCCTTCCTGTCAACATAGAAAGAAGAAAATTAAGCACTTGTTATATTGTTTTACGTACTTAAATTACAACTTTCAAAAAATGGATCTTCTTGAGTACTTAGAAAAGTGAGAGAAGCCGTGATACAATCGATTGATATTGATTGAACATTTTTGAAAATTGCATGAGAAGACCAGACATCTACAAGAGAGGCCTGTAGCACTCATGAATTAGATACACTGAGGATCAGAAAAATGCTCAGCAAACCTGACAACAGTAGAGACAGGTTGGAGGGAATACCAAGCTGAACTTGTAAGCAAGGTTTTCACAAAGAATCAGCCTAGCTGAGAGTTGTCATATGGGATGGGGGAACATGTGATGCATATAGCCTGACTTGTTTTAATTTTTAATCTAGAAGTCCATATTTTGACATTATAAGAAAGCAAAATGAAATTCCCTTAAACTTAAGGCCAAACAACATGCAGCAATATGTCCATCTCTGTCTCAAAAGACTAAATGAGTTCTAAAGAAAACCACTACCAAAAAAAAATATATATATATACATATACATACATACATACATACATATAATTCCATCATAAACTTAGAGTTGTGGTTTGTAGGAAAAACTTTTGATTAATGTTGTTTTCAGCATAAAATAATTATAGAAGGACTAGGAAGGTGGCTCAGTGTTAAAGTGCTTGCCTTGCATGCATGAGGCCCTGGGTTCAATTCCTTAGCACCACATAAGCATAAAAATCCAGAAGAGGCACTTTGGCTCAACTGGTAGAGTGCTAGCATTTTGCTGAAGAGTTAAGGGACAGTGACCACACCCAGAGTGCAGGCCCCATGACCGAGAAAAAAAAAAAACTTATAGAGGTAGATCAAAACTAACAGAACTATTTGAACAATTGCACTAACTTTATTGCATTTCCTTCCTTTTTTATTGTTGTTTATAGGGTTTCAGTTATATTTTAATAATCTTAAATGTTAATATTCTGACAATATTTAATAAGCAGCCTTTCACGGTAAAAAGACATCTCTGTAGCCAACCTCTTTAATGTATCTGTCATGGTCTAAATACAAATCACAATACAAATAGTCTAAGTACAAATACAGCAAGAGCCTAAAAAAGAGGTTTGGTTGACTATATGAAATTCAAATGATTGGTAGAATCTGGAAGATCTGGTTAAAATGAGTGAAATGGAAGCTCCCCACTGTGAAAGGAAAAGTGGGTGAGTCATAGTGATTCTTAAAATCTTCTTCTAGGAGAAAGAAAGTGATTGGTCTGCTTAGGACTGGCATTAGCAGGAAACAAGAGGAGAGACAGATAGCATGTCACCTGGTGCTGACAGGAGAGATAAGTAGCAGATAGTCACCTGGGAAAGGAAACAGATTCCTGCCTAGTGAGAGGACCTTTCAGCCACGGGAGATGGGAAAACTAGACACAGACTTGCAGCACATAGATTTTTCAAGAAGCAGCAAAAAATGCCCACACAGAGAAGCTGAGGAAAGCAAGCCCATAAAGAAAAACAGCAACAAAAATCAGGGCTAGGAAGGTGGCTCAGTGGCAGAGCGCTTGCCTAGCATGCATGAGGACCTGGGTTTGATTCCTCAGTACCACATAAATGAAATAAAATATTTTAAAAATCCAGCTGGCCTATGAGAGTCAAAGTGGAGAATGGCAGCTTATGATATTCCCTCATCCTTCATCCTCCCTTTGTAAGTAAGGGACTTACCTGTTATAGAAAATAACAGCAAATCAGGCTGCAATGCTTGGTAAGAAATGTACGCATTATCCTGCCCATGTAATTGTAACCCCTCTGTACAGTATGTTCACAAATAAAAAATAAAGAAAGAAAGAAAGAAAATAACAGCAAATGTATTGGGGAAAAACGATTTTCTAATGTGAAGCCTTTGCCAAAAGGATAGAGAATTTCATCACAAATATTGAGCACAGGGTCCTGGCCTTAAATCAGGGAGTTGAGGGTAACCCTTGTGTGAATATAAACATAGTGGGTTTTACTCTAGCAGAATCCCATGAGGGCAATTAAAAAGTGAAATCACACGTGTCTTTTTAAGTTTTTGACAAGAAAAATGTATCTGTATAATTTAGGTTTAAATATTATTCTCATATTAAGATGTTGTTTTCAAGTAAGGCTATGTTCACTGCCCATGAACAAACAGCAAAGCCTAGAAAAGAGGTTTGGTTGACTATACGAAATTCAAATGATCGGTAGCTGTTCTTTCTTTATATAAAAGATCATTTTTTTCATTTATTCTTGTACTCTTCCAACACCCCATCGTATCTGGACAGTTAGTTCTACGATGTGGTAAAACATAAAACAGAGAGCTGAAACATCTAATAATTCTCTCGCGATAAATGTTCACCCTAATTCTGCTGAGACAGTAATAGCCTAGCAATTAGTTTATGTGCCAACAACCAGCTAGGCAAATTGCCTCTACCTGGCCTAATGATTCATTTCATCACAACTGTTCATCAGTGCCGCCAGCTTGCAGAACAGGCCTGTTTGTACTCAGCCAAGCACTAGTGATGCTAAAACACCAATAGAAAGCTATAGCATAATAACGATGCCAGCAGCAAAGGACAAGTAGATAAAATAGGAGCCACCAGAAGAAAAGTCCTGTATGCTTCCATGAACAAATATAGCATGCATGCGCTCTGGAACTCACTACCTCAGCTCTTATTACTCCACAGAATGAGCCTAGCACCTTTGTCCCTTGTCCTGTCTATTGATGTAAAGGGATTTACCCTCTGACCTACCCACCCACAGCTCACTGGCAATAGTCCTCTTTCTGTCCTACAACACCTAGTTACATTCTCTCCATTGCATGATGCTGAGATGACAGGAATTTTAACTGCCACTCCTGGTTTATATTCTATAAAGCTATTTAAATACCTGCTTTATCCATCTCTCCCTATTAGACAATAAAACTTTGGAGGACAGGTCTTTGTTATGTTTACTTCTATAGTCTCAGTTCTCAAAAGGCTTTCTGACATATAGAAGGCCTATAATAAATATATCCTAAATGGCAGTATCAATGAATGAATGAGATTCTTAAGTTTCAGAATTTTGAATGGAGGATGAGATTTTTCCCATCACTTTGTTACTATTCTTAAATCCTTAAGTTTATTCTGTTGCCAAGTTCATTTCCCTTAAATAACTCAGCACACATTTCATGGATATATTTGATCAAGTTCCATGTCATAACTTAATCATAAATACCACTGTCTTTTCCAATAGCTCATAGGGAAAAAAAGGCACAAATGAATGTGGTTTCAAGCTATTTGGGGTAAAGAACAAAATTGAACTCTCATGCTTTAACTGATTCCATAAGCACAAAAAGTTATGCATTTAATTTCCTATCTACAATAGTTGGTTTCAACTGTAATTACTCTAATGTCTCATGGGATAAGCAGATTTCACAAAAGCACAGTAATCAGAGGGTAGCTGCTCTGGTGTTCACTTCAAGAGTCTAGGACATGATATGAAAGTTGAATGAAAAGAAAGAAATGGCTTAAGTCTGGGCTTCAGGAAGCATCGGTCCACATAACAAGAGCACCAGGCTGTGAGACACACAGTAAGCCCTTCTATTCCGGGAAAAGCTAATTGGAGAAAGGTTTTGCTTCCCTCCAGATTAAGACACAAATGGTGGCCACATGAAAGAGTTCCCAGGCTGCTACACTTTTTCCTACTTGGAGTTCAATACAGCACTTTTCTCACACTAATGAGCAGTGCCTTCACTCATATGCTTTTAAAATTAGAAGCAGAAGGTATTTTGTAAGTAATGAATGTTTTGTTTAAACCGTACCAACATGTGTTTTGAAAGGCACTGAAAATGTAACATATGGTCCACATAGACTTCAATAGGCCTTGTTCAGACATCCATCGGAGTGGAAGAGAAGC